CTGCACGCGCAAAACCGCAACTTTTTTTAATGTTTGAAAAACAGCGAATTAGATTGCTACAACGTCGAACTAATTGTAACGATGACATGTGTAATAAAGAATTCTCAGATATCAATAGAGTTGGTGTGATTCGGAGATGAAAATAAACAACTGAATACAGAATTAAATGAAGGCGATTCTAGGCTCCTGAATAAGGACTTTGGAAGTGTTCAGGCTACTTTATTCAGTAAAATGCCGAATAGATTGGTTGCATTGTTGTTTTACGTCCTAGTAACAGCCAGGATCACTTAAGGACGTGCCTGATTTAGTTGTGGAGGAAAGCCGGTTTCCCAGAGAAAAACCAGACAGCACCTGGCAACTGTCCCACGTACATGTAGGACTCGAACACGTGACCAAGTGGTAGGGTTTTAACCACTTTGCCGACCGCAGATTGATACAAAACATCCTATGATTTATAATGAGTGGTACGCCATAGAAAGTCGCGATATATTTATTTCACCTTTCGCTGCTTTTGAATTGTACAAGACATTTTCAAAACGTTTATCGTGTTGAATTCTATGTGTGTGTTTTTTTTTTAATTTTGAACATATTTCCACAACTACCATGCATTGTTAAGTTCATAATCAAGCTTTTGTCTAACGTTGATAAACATATCGATATTCCTTTGACAATATAAATGACCAAAGTTATGCATACAACACCAACCCTCAAACGTGTTTGTTACGATATTAACTTGATTAATCTTTGTTTTCCAAATATCCATATCGATATGTTAATGTTTGAAAGGGAATTCCACCCACCATAACCTCCACCCATCCCCTCGGACCTTATGCATTGGTTTACACACGTCAAAAAAATATTCAAATTTTTTTTGAAGCAGCACATATTTAATTTAGAGCGTCTTAAAATTTCGATAAAGATCTGAACAATCACAATTAAAATAATCGAAATATGATTATACGACCGATACTATTTTTATACGATAAAGATGGTCACCTGATTTTTGGTAAACATTAAATAATACAGTTATAAACAGAACAGAAATCATTGCTTTTGGACTAAGAGCAACAATAAAGTTTTTTGTCCCTGTACAACAAGGTTAAATACACTCAATACAAATAGATAAGCATCAATACACATACTAATAGCTATATCTTCGGGAAATAAGCCTAGTAATGTGTATAAGATCTATGTCTGCGTCAAGCAAGCGCTTCGCTCTTTGTCGCTGTGATATGTGTTAATCTGACATTTTAAAAGACATATCGAGGTCAAAGAGACGCTTGATGCGCGTTCAGGAACAAAATGGCTGATTTCTTATAAAAAACACCAAAAAAACAGACAGATATTTTTAGTTGTTTTTACATTTGATTCTAATCCATTTAGGATGGCTGTGCTGGTGTTGCAACCTTACAAAATAACTATTAATTAAAAGAAGCCGGTGCTGTTAATTTTCGGAATTGACATATTTATTATAACGTCCTTGACATCATTAGGAAAATCCTTTACAAACCTGTTGACAAGTCACCTGTATACATGTCTTGTTTGGGGGATAATATGCTTGTTGTTTTATGTATATACTGGAGATTATTAATTTTGAGTTTAACACGACACAAAGTTGAGTATTAAAACGACAACATTCATGATCTATTGTCGAGTACATGCATAAAACAAGCATACTATCACCATTCAAAAATAATTTGAGCCTAGATGCAGTAATCGCAATTTCAACAAAATTCAACACAAAACGAAGACCTGTACAATTTTGTTCGAAACGGTCCCTCATTTGTTCTTAGCCAATCAAAACGCTCCTTTCTACAACTGATGTCGTAGAAGCTCTGCCTACTTTACAGTGAAGTGTCGTTGGATTTGGGTCAGGATGTAGGTCAAGGAATATGACAAGACTTAACATTTTTTCTTTGTGTATATATATATATATGTAAGTTGTTGTTTTACGGATTCCTAGTGCACTTGCCCAAAGTTTGTCATGTCTATCTCTGAACGGTAAAAGTATGTGATCACCAAAGCATGTCGATAAAATAACGAACATCGCACGTTGAGAGACATCGACAAGACGCGAGTCTTATCCGAAGTTGTCAGTGCGTTTCTTTCAAATAGAGTTTGGGATTTATATATAATTCTGTATAGAACTGGCCAGGTAAGGTAGGAGACGATCATACCATGCACGTGACACAACATTTTATTAAGTTGTGATATCATAGTTGAATTTGATCCTTGGATTGAGAATATCGCCTGCTGTATTGTAACGCTTACTTTCTTAACTCTCTTGAAGCGGAGACAAGCGAATCGGAATAAGGCAAAAAGATTATCATCATGGTACCCTTCACTCTACTTTTCGGTGACACATTTTAGCATTTTGTTCTGATAAATTTATCCAATGTCGATATCGAGTATCTGCCTCAACTTGAAAGATGTCCACCATCTTTTGGGGTAACGTCAGAATTCATCAGTATATCGGGGATCAGATAATGAAAATTATCCAATGAAATCTTGCGTTTCATAACATCATTTCTGAATATTTTAATAAAGAATACTCATTCTGTCGTACACGTGACAGACGGATTTAAGATATTATTTTATCTATTACACTTCAATGAAAAACTGCTTGACCAAGCAGAAAAGATTTAGAAAAAAACCAGTGGGGACTGATTAAAGCTTATTCTTGGACGTTGGATAGTAATACTGTTACGTTCAGCAAGTAGACACCGCCATTCTGAATCAACCTCTATACCGTCAGTTTTCTATGTAATCATGGTTGCAAAGAATCGCTTACAATATTGAATGTGTAGAAAACTGCGATGCGCGCAGCAAATCATTAATGAAAACTCTTCTTATCCAGCTTTAACTTGGAAGTTCGATGCAGCGAATAGTAAACGCGATTCTAATTCGCCAAAACTAACCACGTTCAGTGTATGTAACACTATTAGGAAGCTATGCCATCATTGGCTGATGATAGAAAACTTCTTTCCACATAAATAATAGAAGTATTTATCGTTTAATAATTTCGTATATTTCATTGGCAATATGGAACAAGTACATGAAACTGTATCGTTGTCGTTTACAGGTTTACTTTTTTTGAGTTCTTTTTTTTCTACGATATGCAGCAGAAAAGTCGATATTCAAAGTAATGCTGCCAGGTATTAGTGCTGTGGTGTGTTTCACAGTGCGTGGAGCTGACAGGGTCGCTCTGTCATGCCTTTAACCACTAATATTAGATATGTAAATAACAGGGTAGCGGGCACCACCAATTCTACGTCAGCTTTGGTAATCAGGGGTAACATAAAGGAAAACTGCGGACAGATAACTGATCAAGGATGGTAATCAGGGGGGTACATAAAGGGAAACTGGGGACAGATAACTGATCAAGGATGCTAATCAGGGGTAACATAAAGGGAAACTGGGGACAGATATCTGATCAAGGATGGTAATCAGGGGTAACATAAAGGAAAACTGCGGACAGATAACTGATCAAGAATGGTAATCAGGGGGTACATAAAGGGAAGCTGGGGACAGATAACTGATCAAGGTTGGTAATCAAGGGGTACATAAAGGGAAACTGGAGACAGATAACTGATCAAGGTCGGTAATAATGGGGCTACATAAAGGAAAGCTGGGGACGGATAACTGATCAAGGATGGTAATCAGGGGTTACATAAAGGGAAACTGGAGACAGATAACTGATCAAGGATGGTAATCAGGGGTAACATAAAGGAAAACTGCGGACAGATAACTGATCAAGAATGGTAATCAGGGGGTACATAAAGGGAAGCTGGGGACAGATAACTGATCAAGGTTGGTAATCAAGGGGTACATAAAGGGAAACTGGAGACAGATAACTGATCAAGGTCGGTAATAATGGGGCTACATAAAGGAAAGCTGGGGACGGATAACTGATCAAGGATGGTAATCAGGGGGCAGATAAAGGGAAACTGGGGACAGATAACTGATCAAGGTTAGTAACCAGGGGATACATAAAGGGAAACTGGAGACAGATAACTGATCAAGGATGGTAATCATGGGGTACATAAATGAAAAATGAGGACAGTAAATTGATTAAAGTTATCCTCAGGGATCTTCTAACGGTACAAATACTCAGTGAATATTGAAATATCAAATATTCAATCGACAACTTTCATTCCTATTCCAGTTTGAAATTATTAATCTTATTTTCTCTTCAAGAGACGTAATGTTTCTTTATCAAAATACAGTAGATAAAAGGAAACCGGTATTATCGTGATTGTGGTGACCATCGCCTCATTTAGACCCCTACATGGCTCCAGCACAAAGTACAAAGGAAGCCAACTCATAGAAATTACTATGCCCATAGCTGTCTATTTGACGATATGAATGGCTGATACAAATATTTAAAAAGACGTCCACGCTTGTGAAAATATTTGTTTTTACAGTGTTTGTAAGACAGTTTTCTATCTACCGGCTAGTCGTCTACTTACCACTGAATCAGATTTTCGGTTTAATGATAAAGGCCCAGATATGTGACGATTCGTATTTCATTAACCATATTTGGAAAAGTGTCTCCTGACTAATCGAAAAACAGTTGATAAAGCGATGCATTTGGTTTCGTAATGCGATTATATAATCAGGTTTGATTGCATACTATTTGATATTGGAGATGTATTCTATTAATTTTCCCGCAGTTCTAGATGCTTTTAACCCCTAAATGACCTCTTAAAAGAACATATATACGTATGTGCATCAGCAGTTGTTTCAAAGTAATATTGTTTTGTACTTATGTTCATGGGTTAAATGTATCAGATATCGGTGAATACAACTTTTCTTTGGTAGATAAATCCTAAAATCAACCTTACGTAAAGTCAGTAATTGTATATAATATTTTTAATACTGTACGTGGTTTATATAAGCTTATGCTTCAGATATCGGCTCATAATAACATCATTGTTTTGTATTGTTATTCAAGAACTGTTGATCATTCTTTCAGACACAACGACATACACACTGATGTCATGGGAAAAGTATCACCGATATCTGTGCTGACGTCATTCGTGTATGTGTTGGTGTCCTTACCGTACGCGTTGACCCAGAGTCTGGTTGTGGAGACTGACAAAGGGCTAGTGAAGGGAAAGCGCATTCAGGTGCATCATGGGAAACAGGTGGATGTATTTTACGGAATACCGTACGCCAAGCCCCCATTAGGGAGGTATCGTTTCCGGCACCCGCAACCAAATGACCCATGGGATGGTGTGCTCAACGCCACAACGCGACCAAACGCGTGTATGCAAGGCTTCGATGTTGTTTTTCCGGGTTTCAATGGATCAAATCAATGGAACCCCAACACACCCACAAGTGAGGACTGTTTATACCTAAATGTATGGCGGCCAGTCAGTAAATCAAACGACCCAAAACCAAGAGCGGTGATGGTGTGGATCTATGGGGGCTCGTTCCTCAGTGGCTCCTCTTCTCTTGACATTTACGACGCGAAATTCCTAGCAGCGGAAGAAAACGTAGTCGTTGTATCTATGCAATACAGAGTTGGCTCCCTTGGATTCTTGTCCTTTGATCATCTAGACGCTCCTGGTAATGCTGGCGTTATGGACCAGTCTATGGCGTTAGATTGGGTTCAAAGAAACGTACATCATTTCGGCGGAAGTACGTACAATATCACTCTGTTTGGAGAAAGCTCGGGCGCTGCTAGCGTCGGCATGCATCTTCTTTCACCAATCAGTCGGGGCAAGTTCGACAGGGCTATCTTGCAAAGCGGCGGACCAACAGCGCCTTGGGCTACCCTTACTCAAAGCGAGTCGACCAGAAGGAGTCACGTATTCGCGGGAGCCATGAATTGTACACGCAACAGCATTCCGGAAATACTGTTGTGTTTGCGGGATCGGCCGGCGGCTGACTTCCCTACGAAAGAGTATGATACAGACATCGTGAGGGGAATTTCTCAGTTCCCCTTTGTACCAGTAATAGACGGAATCTTCTTAACGGAATCCCCAGAACAATCATTCAGACGACAAAATTTTAAGAAAGTACCAATATTAGTTGGATCAAATTCTAACGAAGGAACATGGCTCCTTCCGTATTACAATATAAACCTGTTTAGTCTAAAACAGGAAAGCAATCTTAAACGTCGTCAGTTCGTCATGGCGATCGACGATATGTTTGATTATTACCCTCAATTTCCAAAGAAAATCAATTCGTATGGAAAAGACGCCATTTTATTTCAATATACACCTTGGAAGGATCCCAATAGCAAATCAATGAATCGAGATCGGATTGAACAGGCGATCGGGGACGTGAACTTCGTGTGCCCCGTCGTCGAGTTAGCTCAGACTTATGCCATGGCAAATATGAGTGTGTACTATTACGAATTCGCCCACCGATCCTCAAAACAGTTCTGGCCTAATTGGATGGGTGTCATGCACGGGGATGAGATATTTTTCGCGTTTGGTGATCCACTTATCAATTATAAAAACTACAGTAATCTAGAAAAACGATTGGCAAGAAAGATGATGAAATACTGGGCCAACTTCGCTAAGTCTGGGTAAGTATTGTCAGATAATTATACATCAGCGATTTTATTAATTTCATTCATATCCTCGATGTTTTTTTTTGGTAATGACTTATTTATCTATTTCATATGTTTATTTACTTGACGGAGGGAGTGAGTTGTTTGATTCGATTTATATACCTCGGAGGTAATGGATAGTTGGTAACGTTCCATCATTTCTTTTTTCCTGCTTTCATGTGTTTCACTACAGGCCTGAACTGTCCCTGTTGTGTTCTCTATATCCTGTTTGTATCACTACAGGCCTCAAATGTCCCTGTTGTGTTCTGTATATCCTGTTTGTATTGTTACAGGCCTGAACTGTCCCTGTTGTGTTCTGTATATCCTGTTTGTATTGTTACATTCCTGAAATGCCCCAGGTGTGTTCTGTATATCCTGTTTGTATTGTTACAGGCCTGAAATGTCCCTGTTGTGTTCTGTATATCCTGTTTGTATTGTTACAGGCCTGAAATGACCCAGGTGTGTTCTGTATATCCTGTTTGTATTGTTACAGGCCTGAAATGTCCCTGTTGTGTTCTGTATATCCTGTTTGTATTGTTACAGGCCTGAAATGTCCCTGTTGTGTTCTGTATATCCTGTCTGTATTGTTACAGGCCTGGAATGTCCCTGTTGTGTTCTGTATATCCTGTTTGTATTGTTACAGGCCTGAAATGTCCCTGTTGTGTTCTGTATATCCTGTTTGTATTGTTACATTCCTGAAATGCCCCTGGTCTGTTCTCTATATCCTGTTTGTATTGTTACAGGCCTGAAATGTCCCTGTTGTGTTCTGTATATCCTGTTTGTATTGTTACAGGCCTGAAATGTCCCTGTTGTGTTCTCTATATCCTGTTTGTATTGTTACAGGCCTGAAATGTCCCTGTTGTGTTCTGTATATCCTGTTTGTATTGTTACAGGCCTGAAATGTCCCTGTTGTGTTCTGTATATCCTGTTTGTATTGTTACAGGCCTGAAATGTCCCTGTTGTGTTCTGTATATCCTGTTTGTATTGTTACATTCCTGAAATGCCCCTGGTCTGTTCTCTATATCCTGTTTGTATTGTTACAGGCCTGAAATGCCCCTGTTGTGTTCTGTATATCCTGTTTGTATTGTTACAGGCCTGAAATGCCCCTGTTGTGTTCTGTATATCCTGTTTGTATTGTTACAGGCCTGAAATGTCCCTGTTGTGCTCTGTATATCCTGTTTGTATCTTATTTTCGTTAGGCCTACTAGTATTGTTACGGATCGAACGTGTTCCTTTTTTCTTCAATATATTCAGCTTGTTTTTTACGACATAAGTCGTCTTTTTTTGTAAACACATCAACAGAAAAAAGGCCATAAAGTAATTCTGTTCTATAGTCGATAAAATAAAGATAAAATTTGTCCTTTAAAACAGTTTGGCAGGTTAAATATCACCGAAAAAAACATGGCTGACTAATGATATTATGTATTATTTAAGTAATGCCAACTTTTATTCTGAAATTAGGACAAAGGTATTGAAGGAACCGATAGCTTCTAACACATCAAACTGCATACCATACAAAGATGTAGAAGGTCTATCACCCGCTGTCTTCGTTTACTATTATCAGTGGTAAACATGTTTTCCGTCTGCAGTAGGCATCCTTTAAAGAATTCGTAAATAGAATGGCCAAGTGCTTGCAAATCGAATATATAGCTATACTTAAGAAAACTGTAGGTTGGAGAAGCAGAAATGTTGCTGTTTAAAACGGACATCTAAAGCCATGTAGCCACTGTGATGTCATGGTTGTAACTGGGAGATAATATCTACATCAAAGTGGCCAACACGATTACTGGGCCAGTTAATTAGATTCGCATAATAATAATAATAATAACCAAATAAATAAAACCAAACAAACAAACAAAATATTTGTACTGAACACATTATTGATTATAAAACCATATTGATTCGAACATCTTTTTTTTAAATTTTGATTAATTTGAAAAAAAAAAAAAAAATGTTATTGCGTGATAATGTACAAAACAGATCGAGCGCTAGCTATCACAACTTGTCAATGTCCTCTCTATATTTCAAGTAAACATGATTTCAGAAACAAGACTGAATATAGGATGAAATAATACAACTAACGACTTTCTAACAAAACCAAAATACACAAGGTACAACTGCTGGGTAGTTCTATATACATTTATTAGCTGAATTTAGACAAATAATTCTCGATAGAATGAGGTAATACCAACATCACATTAAAACACTATGGAATGTTATAACCGAAATTGTAATAATGTAGTCTAATTCCTACAAAACCAGATTTTTAAATGCACCGTGAAAAAAGGAGGGTTCAATGAAGAGGTAGAGAAAATGACGAATTTATTGTTGTAAAAGGACATGTATGGATTGAAATGCAAATTTAATCAATTATCTTGATAAATATTTGCTGTTCACATTAAGAAAATATTCTTCATACTGCACGCGCGTGTCACGAAATCTGTTTGTAAGTGTAAGAGACATAGATCTGAAGTAGTCCCTAGTTAAATCTATACAAGTAAATACCTACTATAACTGGCTAAAAGCAAAACTTATTATGATCAAATGTTTGGCGATCAGAAACTGTTAAGGACTTTCCAGCAAACTGCAGCGTCTTCAACCAACCATGATCATCATCAGATTCGAAATAAGGCTGATCGAGAGTATTTACATAAGGGCAGTGTCACCTTCCTCATACCATCTTATAAATAGTCTTAGCCCTGCAGTAGTAAACAGGTGCCTAAAACAATCAACAGCCTAGTTATCACGTGATAAGCTGTTTTATGTTTTGTTTGAACGTTTTGATGACCATGTAAGATAAAATTATTATGAAAATATCGATCAGGTGAGTTGGCCACACTGATGGGACAGGAGCGTTTTCAGCAATACTTCAATCCCTACCGTTGTTTTTCCTTTCTTCATTATTTTTTTCTGTTCCATGTTTTTCGTTCTTGTTATCTATTCTGAACCTCCACATATGACCTTGGCGAGGACGATAAATCCTGTAAAGATAAGCATAAAAAGTACATAACGTTGTATGTTAGTATTTAGCATTTCATGTATACGTATATTACAAATTATAGTTTGATGAAGGAAACAAGACAGAAGCCAATATAAATGTATTTGATATAGCGTCAAAAGTCTGCAGTTACTATATACAGTGTTGTATAGATAAACTAGTATACTCTTCTCTCCGTAATTATATCAATTTAATGAATAAATGTTATGACTACATATGTATATCATGACGCAATGTTACCTGTCATAAAAATTAAGACGTGACATGCTGGCCAGAGTGTGGTTAGTGTGGTTTAGTACGAATAAAAATAGAAGACTCAGTAAATGACGAGTAAGCCATAATGTAAATGATGTACCGCTTTAAAAACAATGCTGAAGATTTAATTTGAATTGTCAACATTTATCGATATTTTGGATTTCGTCAAAATCTGTCGAAACCTTTAAAATAAGTCAACATTAACTACAAGCCCGTTGGTCAGTAGCTGTAATGAGTGTAGAATAAGATGGTGTGATAAAGGCGTTACTCTGATAGCGTCATCTGCTGATGTCTCTGTACTTTTTCTTTCTTAATTTCCGTGATTCAATAGCTGATAAAACTGGTCAGATCTGATAGTAAAGGTCAGTGAAAATTAATTGTTAACAATAATACTTTCAACGAATATCTAACACCCGAAATATGCCAATCTCGTCAGTTTAACCATCTGTTACTGAAAAGCAATCAGGTTTTGTGATTTTTATTTAATTGTTCGAGTATTGGAATTGTAAGTCACGAGATATCTTAATTTACATGTAAATTATAAATAATTAAGTAAACAAGAAATATACCAAAAACAAAGCGCCTTCGGTTCTGTAACCAGAACTTAAGTTAATGTTACCACTGAATAATAACAGTTTAATTGATAGATAACCAGATGACGATGCAGATTGTGGCTTAGAAATAAGAGATAAATGCGGAAATTAAAACAAAAATGTTACCATACAGCGAGGGGAGGAAAGTTGCGAAAATAATCATCGCCAGACTTACGTCACTTATGACGTCATTAGACGGACACGTGCGCCGCGGGAACGTTGTTTGCCAAGAAATTTTCACGTGCCAGCTTTCGCATAAAAATGCTAGAACATGTGGCCACGAATATGTTTATACAATCTTCAAAAAACTGATCCGAAGAAGACAACGTTTGATTTTACAAGTATGTATATACAAGTGTGTGGTGATAACGGCGACTGGCTCTACAATTCTGTAAAAATCTTCTCTGTTTGTATACAAACTCATAACAAAATATTAAAACGGCAATCAGCAGACGACAGCTAACGTAAACCATCTTGATTATAGTTTTCATACCAGATTTCCGTCTCGTTAAGTATGGATCCAGATCTCAGCAATTTCAAAAACAGGTTTAATAGAAGAAAATCGAGAGCTACACCCATGTCTTGGGCTGACCTACAGCAAGCTATTTTGTAAACAGTTGTAAGTAAGACGTCAACACGAGCTTCATACTCTTGACAGCGTCTTCAAAATGCATATCTGATCTATAGTGACTCCAAAAGAAAAGAAAATTTAACATTGGCTATAGCAAAGTACAGTGTATACATCATTCTTACGGCTGTTACAGTCAGGTATCGAAACGACTCAGCGAATCTAATCTGTGTTCTGTTTCACAAATGATTACATGGACATCAACAGAGAGGTTATTCAATAAACGATAAATGGTCAGAGAAATACCGAGTTTGATGGCTTGGGAATAACGCTGCGGTAGGCATCCTCGGCAAAGCTCATTATATGACTGAAGTGGAAAGCTTAAAGAATGCAGTTTCTTTGTGCAGACAACTGTCAAACACGTCTTAAATACATTACGATGTTCAAAACAGCACATGGTCCATTAAAACATGTTAAACTCCCTTGAAAGACTTGTGTCAAAACTGTCTGTATTATCAACACTCTACAAATGAGTTTAAGGGTGTTACATGGAGGGTAAGGT